CAGGGGTTTATCAATCTTATTAATTCTTTCAAAGAACCAGCTCCTAGTTTCGTTGATTTGTTCTATTGTTTTTTTGGTTTCTATTTCATTGATTTCTCCTCTGATCTTTATGATTTCTCTTCTCCTGCTGGGTTTAGGGTTTCTTTCTTGTTCTTTCTCCAGCTCCTTTAGGTGTAGGGTTAAGTTGTGTACCTGAGACCTTTCTTGTTTCTTGAGAAAGGCTTGTACCGCTACATTGCATTTTTTAAGAGTTCTGAATGCATTGCTTATTAACCATAATTGGTGGAGGCATATGTGTAAACTATTTTGCTCTATCTCAGAACAATTCCTTTTTTTTTTTTTTTAAGATTTTATTTATTTATTTGACAGACAGAGATCACAAGTAGGCAGAGAGGCAGGCAGAGAGAGAGAGGAAGGGAAGCAGGCTCCCTGCCGAGCAGAGAGCCCGATGTGGGGCTCGATCCCAGGATCCTGAGATCATGACCTGAGCCGAAGGCAGAGGCTTTAACCCACTGAGCCACCCATGTGCCCCCAGAACAATTTCTTTATAAAAGTATACTTACTTACCATACTTATATAAAGTATAAATGATTTTCAAAATACAAGCAATTCTTGTATTTTGAATTATAACTCTTTGAACTTTTTTCAATCACATGGAGGGGGAAATGAGTATCTAAATTTCTCAAATATTAGAATTTATCTTGTCGTTTCACGTTAGAGAAGAAGAAACCAAAACACAGAAAAACAAAGTAATTTTGTCAAAATCTAACAATATCTGGCAGCACTGGTCTGGGAAACTTAGCCAACGCAATTGATTAGGCATCCTCAGGTAAGAACCTAGAAATGTGTAGGGTTTATCATAATGTTTAGCTCTGTCCAACTGGTTTCTCTCATTAGTTTTACCTTTGCTGTTTATGTCACAACAGATTTTTTTTATGCAGAAAGTTACACCTATTTGTAGAAATATGTATGTTTATGGAGCCAAGCTCAATGTGGATGCACAGTTGACTTAAAATTAACATCAGCAAATTTGGATAATACCAAAAATATTTAATTACTGAATCTAGTGATCTAAGTAGAAAAGAGTATACTGAATCAGAAACTTAAATTTTGCAATTTGCTGATTAGGTTTACTAAAATTTGAATGTGAAGAATTCAGGATATAAGCAGTTCAAGAAAGGAGCCTAATGAATATCCCCCCATGGATGCAATTAAGTATAATCAATGAATTAAGTATAATTCATGATGATGCATTGTTAAATTTTCCAAAATATTTAAATCCTTACAATATTCAGTTATTATGCAAATGTGATTGCTGAAGGATATATATCTCCTTGGTGGATTAGTGGATTCCTGTGGTTTTGATAAACTTAAAAAACAATAATGGGCCAATAATGAAATAATATCTGCTTTTTGTCTAGTTTTATACCAGGCATGGTGCAGAACACAAGAAAACCTCAAGAAGCATATAATCCAATTGAGCAAGAACAATACACAAGAAGTAATTCAAAAACTATTAAGGGAAAAGGAAAAGGAAAACATTGATGTGGGGTGGACACCAGGTACAATTGATGTGATCTTAGAGCACAGGATCTGAATAGACAGAGAGGAGGAGAAAGAATTCACTATGAATCAGGGAAGAATGGCTTAAGTAAAGGTACACATGCAATACTATCAGTGAAAAGAAGCCAGTCTGATTCCAAACCTAGAGTGTCAAGGAATGGCCAACCTGGGTCCTCCATGCCCCTAGTGCCACATGGCTCAACTTTCATTGTCAATGTTAAAGGTCTGCCATGGGTGTACCATCTCATTATTACTATAAAAGACTTGATTATAAAGAAACTATTATCATTTCTTGTCTTGTGCTACACTATCATTGGTTCATGTTCCCACAACACTTCCTTTTGTTTTAAGATTTTATTTATTTATTTGAGAGAGAGAGAGAGACAGAGATAGCGACAGAGATAGCAAGACAGAGCACAAGCTGGGAGGAGAGGAACGAGCAGACTCCCTAATGAGTGGGAATCCTGACACAGGGTTTGATCCTAGGACCCAGAAATCATGACCTGAGCAGAAGGCAGACACTTAACTGACTGAGTCAGCCAGGTGCCCCAACACTTTGTTTTTTAATGTTTAATGTTAATATTTGACATGTAAAAAAAGTATAAATAGTTGACCCTCGAACAACACAAGTTTCAACTGCATGGGTCCTCTTACACATGGATTTCTTTCAATAAACACAGTGCAGTATTATAAATGTATTTTCCTTATGATTTTCTTAGAAACATTTTCTTTTCTCTAGCTTACTTTACTGTAAGAATAGAGTATATAACACATATATAAAATATGTGTTAATCAACTATTTATATTATTGGTAAGACTTCTGGTCAACAGTAGGCTTTTAGCAGTTCAGTTTTTGGTGAGTCAAGTTATACTCAGATTTGAAACTATGCAGGGGCTTTTCATATACCCTATATATATCCTATACAAGGATTTTCAACACAGGACCAACCCCTATGTTGCTCAAGGGTCTATTGTGTGTGTGTGTGTGTGTGTATATATATATATACACACACACAATATACTATATACATATGTATGTATATAGTATATTTAGTTACAAAGCATAATGGTGAACATCCTCAAACCATCCTCTAACTTAAGAATTAAGTCATTTCCAATAACCTAAATATACCTGCGAGCACCTTTCTTATCCCACTTCCTTGCTTCCCCCACCCCCTGAGGAAAATCACCATTTTGAGTCTTTCATTCCTTTCTTTAAATATAGTTTTATCACTTATGTATATTTTCCTAAAGAATATATTAGTTAGATTTGCTAGTTTTGAGCTTTATAAAAATGGTGTTCTATGACTTACTTTTGTTTAATCAATATTATGCTTTTAAGATTCATTCAGTTGGGAGCTGTAACTCGCTCATACCAGATTGGGAGACTCACTGACATTTTCAGATCAGTTGCTTTAAATTAGCCATAGTGGTAGTATTTACATTATGGGAAGCATCAACCTTTACAAATCAGGGCTTTCGTTTTCAAAGAAAAAGTTGTTGACATTTGCCAGCACACCTCTGATTTCATTCATCCTCTGTGTGTATTTGGAATGCAGTTTTCTACAATGGGACAATTCCACAATGTATCCATTTTCCTGTCCGCCAGCTTGTTGACAAAGGTTATTCACATTTCATGGTACCTGAGACTTGTTTCTCTAAGATATTCCCCCAGAAGTAGAGTTTCTGAGCTTTAGATTATGTGAATATTCAAGACTTTAAAATAATGGAAAACTGTTTCCAAAATTGTTTATGCCCTTCCTAGAGTGCATGAATTTCCTCTCTTCCCTGTCTTCACCAGCACTTACTTTTGCCAAATTTCCTAATTAATACCAAAACAAGGGTAGTAAAACAGCATCTCTCTATGGTCTTCATTTGCTTTTCTTTGATTACTAAAGTAGTCAAGCATTTTTCATGTGTTCATTTGCCATTTTTGTTTCCTTTTCTGTGAAATATCTGTTCATATCTGTTATTTATTTTTCTATTTTTTGTTGATCTTTATTAAATTATATATTGATTGTGTATTCTAAATATTAATCTTTAATCAGTGACAAATATATTGCAAATGTATTTTGCTATTTTGTGGCTGATTGATTCACCTATTTTTTGATCTTTTGATGAACAGGAGTTTTTAACACTCTATAGTTGACTCAATTTTTTGGTTATGTTTTAGGATTTTTTTTCACCTTCTTTAATAAGTCCTTCTCTATCCACATGAAGGAAAATATTTTCCCATAGCTTCTTTTCTAATTATCCCAACTGGATGTACTGATTGCATCTGGCCAGAACTCTGAATAATGAAACAGTGATAAATAGTAGATGTCATTGTCATGGCATTATATGTACTTTTTTATTTATGTAGGAAACTTTCTGAAGTGCCCTGACATTAACGTAATGTGTGGGGTTTTTTTAAGACTTTATTTATTTATGAGAGAGAGAGAGAAAGAGAGAGAGAGAGAGTATGAGCAGGGAGAGGCGAGCAAGAGGGAGAAGCAGACTCCCCACTGAGCAGGAAGCCCTACATGGGGCTCAGTCTTGGGACTGCAGGATCATGAGCTGAGCCAAAGGCAGATGCTTAACCCACTGAGCCACCCAGGTGCCCCTTAAATATGCTGTGTTAAGGGGTTTGAATTGTGTCCTACAGAAAACAGGATAAAAGAAGCAGCTTTATTTTTAGAAAGATAATAAACTAAAAAGATTAGATGGTACAAGGAATACCTATTTACAGGCTTGTTCCAGTAGGCAGAGAAAAAGGACAAAAGCACAGAGGTGGTGTCAGGGAAAATGAAGAGGAGGTTGGTCTGGAGAGGAAATTCACTGCTACGATTTGAGACCAATTTAATATAGGGCTGAGAAAGAGGAAGGAAAATCAAATATGGTGTTGACATTTCTGCTGAAAGTCGAAGGGATCTATAATGTGAAAATGGGAGTAGGCAATGTAAGTTACAAAAACAAGTTGCAAGTAGTGACAAAATTTGGGGAGGAGCCAAAATATAGTTGACCTGTTTCTACGTAAATCGGGCACAGATATTATGAGGCTGCACCTCAGAATCCACATGTCTTGCTTCCTTTTCTCCCTTGCCCTTAACCTTCTGACACACAGCCCAAGGGAGAGGTGGATATATGACTAACTGTTACCATGACCTAGAGCAGGGCAAGATGTTTGGTTTGGTTTGGTTTCTTTCTTTCTTTTTTTAATTTAATTTATTTATTTGACAGACAGAGATCACAAGTAGGCAGAGAGACAGGCAGAGAGAGAGGAAGGGAAGCAGGCTCCCTGCTGAGCAGAGAGCCCAACCGGGATTTGATTGGGATCATGACCTGAGCGGAAGGCAGAGGCTTTAACCCACTGAGCCACCCAGGTGCCCCTCTTTCTTTCCTTTTTAATCTTCAGGTGCGATTCAAATATAGTAAATATTGTTGGATTTAAAACTTACCCAAAGAATCTGGGACTATTTCATCTGGAGAATGCAGTGCTTGCGATGTCTCCTCTGTCCTTTCTTCCAGGTTGTCTCCTTGAAGCCTACATAATTAAAAATGGTCATTGAAACCTTGAATAATGTGGAATTGTGAAATATGAACTATATACTACTGGGGACGTGACAATGAACTTTTCAACTTAAAATCAGACATCCTTCTTCAAAAGAGAAATAAAGGTTTACGAAAGCCTTTGTCATAGAGTGTTTTTGTTTTTCTAGCCTTTAAGGAAACAAGTCTTTCCTCATCGTTTTTTTATACACATGGGAAGATTAAGTCTAGGCAGAATCTGCTTTTCTTCTTAGGCTGACTAGAGGAAGGTTTATAAGCAAAGGTTTTCATTAAAATTGTAATGGGGAAGTGAGTGGAAGAAAAGCAGAAGTCCAACACAGCGGGCTCACCTTGCTTCTGGATCTCATGGCATGAGACGGCTTCTGTGGTTACACAGAGGTTTATTAAACACAGTTCTCCAAATCAACCAAACTTGAGCTTAAAGGCCAACAGGTCAAGATAAGTCTCAACAATGGAAGTTAAGATTCCTAATCTATGTGACTCCCCAGGGTTCTCATAGACACTGGGTCTTCAAGAAGGGAAGACGTGGGTACTTTTTGGACAATATATTTCTGAACTTCTGTGTCCACCTTGCAATCGTGAGACCAGCGATATCTAATTCAAACAGTCTGGATTTATCTTACACTGTGAAATCACCATAGCAGGGGAGGTAGAGCTTATTAATAACTGCTGGAACTCTGTCCTAACAATAAGCTCTGCTAATATTGGAGGACAATATATCAAATAATCCAGAGATTGGGAGTTTCTATCAGTACCCTTATTTTTTTCTTGCATTTAGCTGATGGCAAGTGCCCTCATGGGAGAATATTGATTAATGCATAACAAATAGCATTAATATTTTTAAAATTACAAACTCAAGTACAATTCATAACTGTACCAGGCTCAGAAGTTAAACTCTTCAACTGTTTTACATCTTTGTTTTTATATGCTACAGTAGAATCACATACTAATTTGCATTTTGCTTTTGCATATTCAAGCACATATGTATGACTCTATCTTTTGTGTAACTGTAAATACTATAAATTATGTTTTCATCTTTATTCTTTTAATACTAAATTAATATTAATATTAAATTCTGCACATTTTGTACATATATATTAATAGTTACCTATTACCTTCTATATACAAAACTATATTTACTGTATTATATAAGTTAACTAAAGAATTCTCAATAGTAATTTCCTGATAGTCATAACACTTTTTGGTCAAATATGTACAATTTATACTTTTTTAATTGATTTTATACTCTGGATTAATTTTTTAAAAGTTTACTTTGAATGAACATCACCTTTAAATGATTTAGCTACATACTTCTCAAATCTGTCCAATCATTTATTTTGTTTATTTCTAATAATTAGAATAAATACTAGTCTGCAATATCAAATAGTCTTTTCACATTTCCTTTGTCTATGACCATTTCATCAAATTTTTGAAGAAAGTATGTAGAAATATGAGATACTGAAAGGTGTAAGCAAAAATTATCATAAAAAATTGACAAAGAACTCCAACACATTTGGATATTTCAAATTAGATTAAAAACCTAAATGGAAGATAAATCCCCAACAAAGGCAGAAGGAAAGAAGCGAAAAATAAAAACTAAGTTGTAAATTTCTTTTTGCTCATGGCAAGCTTCAATAAGAAAGATTTATTTTGTATTTATTAGTAGGCTCAGTAATGAGCCTAATGTTGAAGAGATGTAAATAAATTACAAATGATCCTGATTTCACAGACTTCTCAATTTAGCTGAGTCAAAAAGACAGACGGCCATGAAAACAACTCAACAAATTGGGTGGCCTTGAAGCTGGCTCATCTTCATCCAAATGCTGCCCTCCAGATACCGTAAGAGTTGGATTTACCGTGACTTGGCAGCAACTCCATCAAGGAATGCTTCACAGCTCTGCCATCCTTGAGTGCTCTGCCAAGGTTTCCCAAACTGTAATCCACACAGCACTACTTCTGTAAGAGGTTAATAGGCACTATGCAAACAAGGGTTATGTGGGCAAGTCCGGGAAATACAGTCTTAATAAAAGTTAATTTTTTTTCCCTTTACACTATAAGAGTTGTACTTATACTCCCAAACCTTTTCTCTTTGCTTTCTAAAGCTCCTTTTCCATTTTAAAAAATCTCTCATATTCTCAGTGCCTAAACAAAATGCTTCCTGCTTTGCCTTGTCACCATTGAAACCCTTTTCTAAGAATATTACAACCTTATTTTCCTCTGAGAACATGAGAGTGCCTCCTCTCCAAAGGAGGCTGCCTAATCCCTTGACCTCAGATAACACAGGATTAGAAATATTCACCTTCAATTCTTTGTGCCTGTGAAGACGTTGCTCAGAATTAAACTTTTCTTCTTCACCTCAAGCATCATTATCACCTTGAATGATTTCCATGTTCTTGTGTATCTACCCACTAATTTCAAAGTCTCTTGATCCCAAATCTGGAGATACTCCTCTCTACCTCACCTTCCCTTGCCCAAGGAGAGTTAACCCAGAATTCCTCCATGTCAGCAATCTTTAAGTCCAATGTTCTGTTCTCTGACAAAGAACTCGCCTCCTTTAGGCTCTTTCACAAACTCACTGTTCTTAACATTTTCTCTTTAGTCAAATATGGATCCCAATTTCTATTTTCTCCCTCGCCTCCCTTCATTCCAGTTCTGCCCTACTCAGCTGAGTCTTGTGGTCTCCTCAGTTCCCATGCACCTATATCCTCCTGTCATTACTGACCAATCAGACCCTAATTCCATATTAATCCATCATTTTCCTACATGTTTGCCCCTGGAGCAATGCAGGAGAAAGTCGGGACAGTCTAGGATTCATGAGTACAAGTCAATTGTCTCCAACATTAAACTCTGGCTTCTTGGCTTCTTAGTTGTCTTTCTTCCATTCCTTTCAAAGTCTTTACAAAACTATTATCTCTTTTTTAGGTCACCTAGAAAAATGATATATTAAGGAAGAAAGATCTGCTACTCTTCCTTGCATAGCTCCTACAGAATTATCTTCAACCCAGCCAGTATTCACCACCTTTCTAATTCACAAGGGGTGAGACCCTCTCTCCAGTATAAGGTTCAGACAATCCATTTAGGCTGGTGATTTGGATGCCCTCCTCTCATCTCTTTGGGACCTTAATTTGTTTTATCCATTACTATTCATTCTGTTCATTCTGTTCATCTCCATTGCTCATTTTCCACAGCACAGAAGCAAGTTCATTTCTCTTTCAGCCTTAAAACACACACACACACACACACACACACACACACACACACACACACACACCCCAAAATCCCTCTCATAATTATCTCAAACATCTGACTGTTGCTTTTTCTTGCTCATTTTTCTCTGAGCCAAACTCTCTAAATATTCTTCATTCATTGCCTTTGCTTCCATAGTTTTTACTCATTTCTCAGCCTATTTTTATTTGGTCTGTGTCTCTGCCATTCTGAAATGACTGTCTGACCTAATTGCCATATAAAACAGAAAATTTTCATGCCTTATATTTATGTAACTTTCAACTGTACTCTGTATGAATACTCTTTACCCACTCTCTTTTACACTGTCTCTCTGAATCAGCTCATCTACTCGTGGTTTTAATCACGTATAGATTGACATTTGTCAGATCTTTCTCTTGAGTCCTCAGCTCAAGATTGGTATAGCCAAAGTTTTGTAGGACATTTTACTTGGATACACCAAAAACATCACAAAGGCAGCATGTCCAAAAACAAACTCATTTTCATCAACACCCTGTCTTGCTAATCAACCCAGTGTTGTTAAGTATACCTCCTAAGGAAATTTTCTGAATCCATCACTTCCTCTCTGCACACTCTATAAGTTTGCTGCTCATGTTTATTCACCTAGATTATTACATAGTGCCCCCACTGATGGTCTTACTTAGAAAATTGCCCCTCAAAAATCCATTTTCCATATGGCTACCAGAATGTTCAGAACAAATCCAAACATATTACTCCTATGATTTAAATATTTTAGTGCAAGAGATCTTAACATGAGTATTTTTAGAGAGTCTGTGGGCAGGTTTTAGGGGAATCACAATAATTCACAATAAATGGAATGAAAAATTTTTGGCAGATGTGCTCCTTTTGGACAGGGAGACAGTAACTTCAACCAGATTTTCAAAATAATCTTTGACTCAAAAAAGTTTAAGAACTACCATTTTTGCGGGCTTCTCATCACCTGCAAGATGAGTTATGGTTTCCTTACCAAGTCATTGAGTCTCTCTGTTGCACAACCCCTACCTGTCTCTGCAAATTCATCATCTTTGACTTCATACTCCATAAACTCCACTTCTTTTACTTTTTTGCAGATATTTTGTTATTAAGTCTCTGGACTATTATATAATTATCTCTGGCATGACTTACTTTCCCCCTTTTTACTATTTGGATTAATCCTAGTTTTTCATTCTAGAATCTCTTCAGAATCTTCTCTTCCAGAAGTCTTAGCACCTATGCAAAACTTTACCATTGCTCTTGCTTCACTATATTCTAATTGTCTGTTTAGATGTCTGTTTGTCAATACACTCCAAGTGTCTTAAAGGCAGGAATTTTATTTTTCATGTTTTTATGTCCCTAAAACCTAGCTTAGGTTGAGCTTGCTACATTTTAAGTTCTAAAAGAGATTTCCTAAGGCATTTTTTAATGATTAGCTCACCTTGGAGATAAGAACAAGAAAACAGGGCATGCCCTATATATGAGGGATTTTCTACAGCATCCTCTAATAATAGAGTTACATTTCCTTGAAAAGAGGTAACACTATCTGGTGTATATTTAAGGTTAAGCAGTTCTTAACCTGGTTGGACTCAATGCAGAACATGAGTCAGAGGCTTATGTGCCAGTGCTTATATGATCTGGGGGGCAGGAGGGAAGGACATGGGAGTAAAACACTAATGGAGAGAAAGCCAATACAAATATGTGTTAGTGAACCAGCCCCTGTACAGTTGGCTGCCACACAATCCCACAAGAATTCTG